CCAGAGACCCGAGCTTCTTCCTACATATTATCCTCCAGCACCGTACTATACGCCGTCCATTCTTCAAAGCGTTCCTCTTATCCAGAATAGCGTTTGCCATGGTCTGACGGAGCTCTTTCTGTGAACGTCCCTCCATTTTTTCTTTTGGCTCCTGTGGTGCATGCCTGATTCCTGGCTTGTGTTATGATTTTACTACTCCAGCTGCTCACCTCAAACTACATCAACTTTGCCTATAGGCTTCCGCGCCGTCTCATTCTAATGTCTCCACCTCCACCAGGGAACTCTCGCCGTTTTTCCTTACTTTACCCTGCAGCCCTAGGTTTAGCTTAACTCAAGCATAAAGCAGGAAGGATAGAGCATTCGCACTCGATCTATCCCTATTCTTGGATGTACTACGCATTCTAGTACTGCCATCCAAAATTTAAGAAACAATGTGAATGCTATTTATCCCTTACAATGATTTATAGAGGGCAGCCAGTGTTCAAGTTATTCCTTTTGTCGTCGTACGCTAGCGAGTCGCTCGATTCGCAGAGTCTGACATCGGCCTTACGGAGATTCACAAGGCTGACATAGGAGCATTACGGGATCATCAGATCAGACAGCGAAATCGTTCAGATTCCAAGAAAGTGTGAAAGGAAAGAAACGAGACACTGTCGTTCTTGCTATTTATTGCCGGTCTAGTCCGGCCGGCTATCGAACCTTTCGCACACAAGCCACCCGGTTAGCCGCCGTGAGTCATCCATTTCACCTACCGTGCCCCTTGGAAGAAGGTCAACTTTTCCTCACAGTTAGCGTAGTCAACAAACGGTTGAAATGCATATCTTCCCCGTTAGATTAGCACCCCATGAGGATACAAGGCGATGCTGCTTCGAGTAAGATTGATACCTCGGACCGTGGGTTTAGAGGCAAAATCCTCAGCTCACTGAGGCGTGTATACGTAGATGTGTGTGGTCCGCCACTGCAGAGGTCGAGTTACCTTCGCAAGTCGAAACTAGTCACCAGGGCGCCATGGACTTAACAGACCCACCAAACTTAACATGGTCCGCCCACCGTTCGATATCTTGTCTGCGTCGCAATGTTGATCTGCTATGCTCTCTCTTCTCGGACTTCTCTACCCTCTCCGCGCTCACATTATCTCTCATCTCCCTGCCTGCTTTTGAACTTCTCCACAGCGTAGAGCAAAAGGCTCGTATTTCCTGTGTTTTTCACGATTTTCTTTCCTTTTTCTCCATTTTCAGTCCACTTCACATCCCTGCTTTCATGATTGGGTGGAATCACCACACCAATTTAATCCTGATCCCTGCCTTTAAGTCTTCGCGAACCATTTATCTGATAATCTGCCAATACGTTATACATGCAAGTAATGTTCAAAGCGACAGTTAATAGACATGTCAGCATTTTGAGCCATTCCCTGGACTAATGTGAAACGCCGGATCCCGGATATTTCACCAACGCCCAAGCCGGGAAATTCAAAGGGTGGTGCAGGGTTCACTGCAGGACTTCGTTTTGAATGTTGTTCTAACCTTGAAATTTTGTATTTCCCCACCTATCGCTCTTCAGCAACCTTTGTTATGTATCAGTGGTTGTGCGCTGAAGGCCGTAATGAGCATTATTGCCGCTTGCTGTTTATTCGATATCCTAGTGACGTCATCGAGCAGCGTTGACATCACTTTCGCACTTGGGCGATTTCTTGTTGACGAGCTGTAGCGCTGGCCACTGACGCGCATTCCTTTTCATATGCCGTTCCAATTGCCGTGCTGTTTAATTTCAAGAACGATGGCAAACTAGTTGTTGAAATTGTCAGAAATATTCGCTCATCCTTCTTTGAAATCTTTCATTGCATTAGGTAGTCGAGCAGCCAGATTTGTATGACTACGGCTACCTTCCGCTCTGCGACCGCGCGCTAAATTTCCACATGTTTTGGTCACTTGCTGCTCCATAACTGTAGCTGCAAACTGGTCAGCTTCTGCTGAAGCTTTATCTCTCTGACTGCACTTTCAGTATCTT